CTTTTTTTCTATTTGTATAGTTTTCTTTTTCTTTTTTTACACACAAGTCCTCTAGCAATTTGCACATCAGGTCCCCTCAATTATGATCTTGTACAATTTGATCATCAAGTTTTGACTTTTCTTCCTATTATGCCCTTCATAAATTGCACATCAAGGTCCTTCAACTTTATGAATTGTGCATTTTGATCCCTGACTTTAAAATTTTGCACACTTTTAATCTATTTTTCCTCATTTTGCCATGTTCTCATTCCATGGATGATTTTTGCCTGCAAAAGCCATAAATACATAATTGTGAAAAAAAAATCACTCAATTTAATCACTAATTAGCTTATTTGGATATTAAATAAGTGTGGAAAAACACACTTATCAATTATTATTTTCTATTCTAATTAATCCAAATGCACAAGAAGAATGTGTTAGGATTCCTACTTCACCTACTATTCTCTTGTTCAAGTTTTCAATCTAGATTCTTTAATATAATTTGTGTATAATTGACGGTCAATAATCCAAATTTATTCAATTATCTCTCTCGAGGTGAGTCAAACTTATTCTTAATCACGACCCGAAGTATCAATATCCTGAATTTATGTGTGAAGTCATGCATTCAGTTGCACGATTACCTATTTCAATTGCACAAATCATAAATTATTATTCCAAACATTTATTGAGTCTTACGTTGATTATTTTGAACATCCTGGAAGTAAAATAAGCAACCTATTGATGATCAAGCATTTAAGTAATCCATAAGCAAGTAATATCAATCAATTATACAAATCAACTAAAGGAAATGGTCTTTGATTTTAAACGGTAAAATAATGTCTTTTGTATTTATCCGATCACTAACAAGTTTAGCCAAGTAACTCAATAATGAAATTACAACAAAAGATATGGAAATTCATCACCCAGTACATATTAGTGAAGGAAAGAGACATTAAATCAATTTCTTGATGTAGATCTTCAATTCCAAGTTTTGAATCTTCAATATCTTGATGTTATTTGCCTTGAATCTCTATCTAGACTTTTTCTATGTATTCTAAAATGAAGGATGTCAAAATTAGAGGTCCAAAGTAGTTTAATTCGTCTGCCAAATTGCTTTTAAAAATTTGGACGAAACCAAAGAAGAAACAAATCTTTTTTGGGGAATTAACACAATACGATAGCATACACCATTGTCATTGCATGGCACTATCATGTACTAAACTGCTTTTGCCAAACATGCCCTTACTGCATGGGCAATTGCCCTACGTTCGCAGGGCTCAACCTTGAGTTCAGTGGTCCCTAAATTCAGCTTTTTATCCAGCTTATGCCCCTTCTAATTTCAATTAAGGCCCTTAATCTTCTAAATTATATCGCGTTGATCCCCATTCTCAGAATAATGCAATAAATGTTTCCTTTTTGCCCGATTTTTATATATTTTCTCCAAAAGCTAGTTCAACATCAAGTTTTACCTAAACAAATACATATATACATGAAATTAAGCAATAATTTTCAGTACTTCCAAATATCCATGTTTAACGATCCAGATGATATGTTGATATTTGCATCCAATATATAAAGCATAAAAGATACTAAGTCTTTGTTATAATTGAACTTCCATATGAAAGTCATGAAACTTACACAAGTGATTTTAGGAATTAAAATCATAAGGAGAGATAATGGTATACTAACTCGATTTTATTATATAGAAAAGATATTGAAAAAGTTTGATCGCTATGATTGCAAGTCGATATCCACATCATTTGACTCTAGTGTTAGATTTTACTCTTAACACAGGAATGACAATTTTTCAATTGGAATATGCACAAAGAGGGGGACCAAAATCCAAAGGGAAGTCGCCGATTTTTCTTCTCAAGAAGACAGCTGATTTTCAAAGCAATATCACTGCCACGTTTTTCTCAAAGTTCACACAAATCACACACCAAAAAAAGGACTAGGGTAAGTTGTGTTAAATAATTGTTTCAAAAACTTCACGAAACAGAATATCGGATTGAGTACCGGATATGTAGAATAGATACCGTATTTTTAGTAAGTTTAAACACAATATTTCCTCATATCATTTTGCATACAAATTTAACTGTAACAGATTTAATTATATATTATAGATTCATAAATGATTTATAAATTTCAGTAAATAATTAAATGAGAATTACAAAATACTAATATGCAAAACGAATAACAAGAAGGAAAAAAAACTTTTAACCCGAGGCATGTGTTACACACAGTTTCCTTAAAACAGATTCGTCCCCTCATCGTACGTGCTTGAGGTGTAATTTGAGCGTCTGCTTCCAGGATACAACGTTGGAACAGTAGAATCTGAGCACCACATATTTTACTCCGGCAAACTGAGTTAGAGCCCGAACAATATCACCACCAGAGTCAAACAGAAACGAAAACAGAGACAAAACTTGAACTGTATGCAGATGAATATTCAGATGAATTCTTGTACTGAAAACTGGGAAAAACTGAGGTATATATAGACTTTGGATCTTATAACTTGCCAACTTACTTCATGGAAATTACAACATGGGTCTTAGGAGTTTCAACTGTTTCAAAAAATGAAAAGTTGGTTGAAAAATAAAATGTAACAAAACGTAGGCTCTTCTAAGGGGCCAATTTTTGGTCAATCCGATCCAACATATGTGTACGTAGGTCATGCATGTACACAAGTTCAAGGTCCAATACCTATTTCAGTCCGTGATTTACACCCCCCTGCGCGCGCACATTGAGAGAGCCTCTATACTACACATGATTACACCATTCTAAAATGCAATCTTTTATAAAATGGTTTTAATTTTCATTCACTTCCTATGTGGGACAAACTTATTTTTAGTTTTTCCACCAACATAAACTCTTTTCATATGGCATACTTTGAACTTCAATTTCTCATTCACCCGAACATCATTTTTGACAAGTAAGTAAATGATTTCGATGTACTTTCCTCTCTCAAAATAGCCAAACATGTCCCGCTCAAAATCCGTGCCAAAGTCACCCACAAACTCATTTTTTTCCAACAATCCCCCACATGAATGAAAATTGGGAACGACACATGAATGTGGCACATGACGACTTAGTGATTTGTTCAACGGTTGAAATCTGCATAAGATATATAGGTGTTACCCTTTGAACATTCCCTTGTGAAATCATATTTACTTTACTGGCTGACCAGTAGACGCGATGTCTTTGAACTATTCTGTTGTTTATGTAAACGATAATATACTCCACACAGGATTCTTCCTAACACATTTCAGTTCTCAATATTATGTTCGTTTTGGGCATGGCATACGCCTGTTCTGTGAGAGTTCACAAGAATTTTGCCCCACACAATTCCCTTAGAAGCAGCCCCACTTCTCTCTCACATAGGTGATTTCTTATTACAAGTAACCCTCATTACTTGGCTCGATTTTCGATACATAAGAATCATTAAAAGCCTATTGCTATCCTTCATCTTTACGGGCATCACTATTACATCATAGGAATGGACATGAGGTAATATCCCTCACAGTGATTCTATCAAGTCATTACAATTAGGTTGTCTATTTGAACCTAGATCTTGGAATTTCCAGTCAACTAAGTTGGGTTTTCCTTTGTATTAACTTATCCATTCAAAGGCTTAATTCTTATTCCTCTCGATAATTTTTCACTAACTCTCTATTTAACCCTTTGGTTAGCGGATCCACAATATTATCATTTGACTTTACATAGTCAATAGTGATAATTTCAATTGAGAGTAGTTGCATTATGATATTGTGTCTACGACGTATATGTCTAGATTTACCATTGTACATGTTACTTTGTGCATTTCCAATTGCTGATTGACTATCACAATATATGCAAATTGTTGGCACATGTTTTGACCATCTTGGAATATCCTTTAAGAAGTTGTACAACCACTCAGCCTCTTCACCACTTTTATCTAGAGCTATAAACTCAAATTACATGGTGGATCTGGCTATCACTGTTTTTTAGAGGGTTTCCAGGATATAGTTGCACATGCCAATGTGAATAAAAGTCCACTCGTGAACTTTGAGTCTTTTATATCAGATATCCAATTAGCATCACTATATCCTTCAATGACTGTTGGATATCTTGTATAGTGCAGTCCTACTCTTACTATTCCTTTCCAGTGATCAGCTCCTGGATTACTCGTATATCTACTCAGTTTACTCACTATGTAGCTATTTCTGGTCTTATACAACTCATTAAGTATATCAAACTTCCAATAATTCTCAAGTATTCTACTTGAGATACACTTTCACCTTTGTTTTTGGATAGATGTTGACTTATATCTATCGGAGTTCTAGCCATTTCAGTATCATCCTTACTGAACTTTTCTAGAATTTTATCCACATAATGTGACAGCTTAGAACAAGCCCATCTGATGTTCTTAAAATTTTGATTTCAAGTATAACATCGGCTAAACCCATATCCTTCATATCAAATCTCAAATTTAACATATCTTTAGTGGATTTAATCACTTTATCATCACTACCAACAATAAGCAAGTCGTCAACGTAAATATATAAAATGACATAACCATTTACAGTGTCTTTGACGTAAACACATTTTTCACACTCGTTGATTTTAAAACCACTCTCCATCATGACACTGTCAAATTTTTCGTGTCATTGTTTTGGTGCTTGTTTCAAGCCATATAATGATTTCACCAATTTACAGACTTTCTTTTCTGGCCCTAGAGATGAAAACCCATCGGGTTGTTCCATATAGATTTCTTCCTCTAAATCTCCATTTAAAAATGCAGTCTTAACATTCATTTGATGTTTCAAGATTTCGTAGAGCAGCAATCGCAAACATCATCCTAATAGATGTTATCTCGTTACTGGAGAATATGTATCAAAGTAATCAAGATTTTCCCGTTGTCTGTAACATTTTATTACTAATCTGGCCTTATACTTTTTGATAGTTCCATCTGCTTTCATTTTTCGTTTGAAAATCCATTTGTAGTCTAGTGGTTTACTTCCTTGAGGAAGATCCACTAGCTCTCATGTATGATTTTGCAAAATAGAATCTATTTCACTTTTAATGGCTTCTTTCCATTGAGGTCCCTTTGAGAAGTTCACAGTTTCTTGATAGTTTTGAGGTTCACTTTCTAGCATATAGGTCAGAAAATCTGGACCATAAGATTTTTCTGTCTTTTCCCTTTTGCTACGTCTTGGTTGAACCTCAACATCTTCTTCTTGTTCTTGGCCCTGACTATTTTCAATCATAATATCATATGTCTGTTTAGAATAACTTGCCTCTTCTTTGGACTTGTATGGAAATACATGTTCAAAGAATGACGCATTTCTCGATTCCATTATCGTGTTTTTGTGTATATCTGAGATTTTAGATTCATACACAAGAAACTGATAAGCACTACTGTCATGTGCATATCCAATGAAGATGCAATCTACAATTTTCGGGCCTATCTTCACCTTCTTTGGTGTTAGGATAACCACTTTAACAAGATACCCCCACACTCGTAAGTATTTATAGGAAGGCTTTCTTCTTTTTCATAACTCATAAGGGCTTTTTTCCAATTTCTTTCGGGCACCTTATTTAAAAGGTAATTTACTGGCAATACAGCTTCCACCCACATGTTCTGAGGTAATCTAGAACTTATTAACATTGCTTTATCGTTTCTTTTAAGGTACGATTTTTCCTTTCAGCAACACCATTTTGTTGCGGTGATTTCATGTATGATTCCGTGTTGTGCACAGAATTCAGCAAACGGTGATTCATACTCACCATCTCTATCACTTCTCAACACCTTAATTTTCTTGTTAAGTTGATTTTCAACTTCATTCTTATAGAGAACAAATTTCTCTATCGCTTCACCATTGCTTTTTTAGCAAGTACACATAGCAATATTTTGTCCTATCATCAACAAAAGTAATGAAATATTTGTTGTCACCTCTTGTTTGTACAAATTTTAAATCACATATATCACTGTGAATTAAATCAAATGGTTTTGTATTCCGTTCGATTGATTCAAATGATGACCTTGTCAATTTTGCATCAACATAAGTCTCGCACTTATGTTTGGAATCAATATGGAACGCATGTATACAATTCAAGTTAACTAGTCTACGTAAAGTATCATAGCTAACATGTCCTAATCTACCATGCCACACATTGGAAGATGCAAGCAAGTAAGCAAAAGAATTTACTTTATTCGTTTTTTGTTTAACAACCATTACATTCAATTTAAATATATCATCGGAAACATAACCTTTTTCAACGAACATTCCACTTTTTGACAAAATGACTTTATTTGACTCAAATACAATACGGAAACTATACTTATTCAAAAGCGACCCGGACACAAGGTTCTTGCAGATTTTCGGCACATATAGCACATTGTTAAGAGTCAGCTCATTTCCCGAAGTCATCTTTAGAACCAACTTTCCTTGACCCTTGATTTCAGAAGTTGTTGAATTTCCCATAAACAATTTCTCTCCGTTCTCAATTGTTTCGAAAGTCGTAAATAGTTTTTTATCAGAACACACATGCATCATAGCTCCAGTGTCAATCCACCACTCTTTTGGGTTTGAACCCACCATATTCACCTCAGAAATGACGGTTGCGAGATTCATCTCGACGCATCATGTGCAATGTAGTCAACCACATTTGCTTTTTTATTCTTTTTTGGCAATCTGCACTCCGAAGATTTGTGATCCACTTTGTCACAATTGAAGCATTTTCCTTGAAACTTCTTTTTAGAAATTCCACATTTAGGTCCTAGCTTGGTCCATTTACCACCGGATGGCCGAGGCTTAAGTTTGTAGGTCTTACTGCTTTGACCATGCTCCACAACATTAGTTTTAGCAACACTAGGATTGAACAACTTCTTCTCGGAACTCTTGTTGTTTTCTTCAATTCAAAGTCTAACAATTAGTTCTTCGACATTCATTTCCTTTCGTTTGTGTTTCAGATAATTCTTAAAATCTTTCCACGCGGTGGCAATTTTTCAATAATTACAGCTACTGGAAAGTTTTACTCAAAATCATCCCTTCGGTATGAATTTCATGAAGAATCACTTGGAGTTCTTGCACTTGATTGATTACTATTTTGGATTCCACCGTCTTATAATCCAAGAACCGGCCAACAATGAGCTTTTTGGCCTCGAAATCCTCAGTCTTATATTTTCGGTCCAATGACTCCCACAGTTCTTTAGCAGTTTTCATAGTACTATACACATTGTATAGCGAATCTGCTAAACTATTTATGATGCAGTTTCGACACAAAAAATCCAAATGTTTCCACGCATCAAGCACACTAACAGCTTGATCATCTCTCTCACCCTCTTCGAGTCTCGGAGCATTTTCAATCAAGAATCTCACAAGATTCAAGGTGGTCATATAAAACAACATTTTCTATTGCCACCTCTTGAAATTCAAGCCATTGAATTTCTCCGATTTTTCACCATGATTAACCTGAACAGTAACGGTATGACCAATTGTTTGACTCACAATATGACTTGACAATCTAGCCACAGTTTGAGTCACAACAGAATTTGACCTTTAAGCCATAGCAGAGCCTACAACCTAATTTTCATTAGCCACAGTTTGGGTTACATCCATGTTGGTTGATTAGGTAACCATTTCTGAAAATGAAACAAATATTAGTTTCTAATAAACCAATATTAATTTTCAATAAACCAAATCAAACAACTTATCTAAAATAAGAATCTGTTTTAAGTTTGTTGGATAATTGTTTCAAAAGCTTCACGAAACAGAATATCGGATTGAGTACCGGATATGCAGAATAGATACCGTATTTACAGTAAGCTTAAACACCATATTTTCTCATATCATTTTGCAAACAAATTTGATGTAACAGATTTAATTATATATAACAGATTCATAAATTATTTATAAATTTCAATAAATAACTAAACGAGAATTGCGAAATACTAATATGCAAAACGAATAACAAGAAGGAAAAAAATTTTAATCCGAGGTCTGTGTTACACACAGTTTCCTTAAAACAGATTCACCCCCTCACCGTACGTGTTTGAGGTGTAATTTGAGCGTCTGCTTCCCAGGATACAACGGTGGAACAATAGAATCTGAGCACCACAGATTTTACTCCGGCGAATTGAGTTAGAGCCCGAACAATATCACCATCAGACTCAAACAGAAACGAAAAATCAAGGTATATATAGATTTTGGATATTGCAACTTGCCCACTTACTTCATGGCAATTATAACTGGAGTTTTATGAGTTTCAACTTTTTCAGAAAATGAAAAATCANTTTGGATCTTGTAACTTGCCAACTTACTTCATGACTATTACAACAGGAGTTTTGGGAGTTTCAACAGTTTCAGAAAATGAAAAGTCGGTCGAAAAATAAAATAAAATGTAGCAAAACGTATACACTTCTAAGGGGCCAATTTTTGGTCAATTCGGTCTGACATTCGTGTACGCGGGTTGGCCAGCACACAAGTTCAAGATCCGATGCCTATTTCGGTCTGTGATTTGCACCCCCTGCGCACGCACGTGGAGAGAGCGTCTATGCTACACATGATTACACCATTCTAACATGCAATCCTTTATGAAGTGATTTTAGTTTTCATCCACTTCTTATGTGGGACAAACTTATTTTTAGTTTTCCCACCAACATAAACTCCTTTCACATGGCATACTTTGAACTTCAATTTCTCATCCACCCGAGCATATTTTTTACAAGTATATAATTTTGATGTACTCACGATGGAGAACACAAATCAACTTTCATCTTCTAAAATAGTCAAACGGGTCCCACTCAAAATTTATGCCAAAATCACTCACAAACTCAATTTTTTTCCAACAAGTAGTCTATATATTGGAATAGGTAAGATTCTAGTTGGCCAGGAAATGGATAAATGAGCTAGAATCAAGAGTCATCAATAGATGAATATATGGGCTGTAAGTAATATTAATTTATTAAACTACTTCCAACGGTTCATATTGTTTTCTGGTCGAGCCTTTGAAATTGGTTGTTGGTAATTCATTCACCATTGGCCGATGACTTATGTTCCAACATTTTACATTATAGCCAAGATTTATTGGGTATAAAAAAAATCCAATAATATCATTTCAAAAGTAATTTGGTTGACTACTTAAGATGTCCACGAAGTAAATCAAGGTACATGTCTATATGACACATGGCCTATTCACGTGTCGGTTTGTGAAACATTAAGATTTTTCGTGTTTGTACATGAGGTGCTTCCAATTAATCATATAGGGTCGCAGGTTCAATGCCTATCTGTACGCCACCTTTGTTAGCATTTGAGATATTTTAACTTGGTGAAGATTTAAGTCCAAAAGACACTTTCATTTGTTCGCAAACATAGCAAGTTTATATGAGAAATTTTTCGAAACGTCATTTTTTGAAAATGGTGGAGTATTGTTTGAAAGGTTTTCTAATAATGTCATTTTGATATTCTAGACGGATCTTTAGTTGTTCGTGTTTAGAAAAAATAATTAAAGGAATAGATCTTAGTAGTGAAGGTCACAAGTGGCCGACCAGCTAAGGCCACAAGACGAAATATGCAACCGTAGGATGCAAATTCATGAACGAGTGTCTTTGCACTTGTTTGAGGTTTTAACATTTTTTTGTCACTCAACCACAGTTAAGTTATTTAATTCAAAATTGAATATTTGTTACTCTAATGAAGAGGTGTAACTCTTAAAATGTATTGCATTAACAATCCATAAATAGATTATTAAATTTATTTACAAAATCATATTTGAAATCACGTTCTTCTATTTTCTCATTGTTGGGTTTTGATATCCAATAAATTCGGATGACGATGTTAAAACGGGTTGGATTTATTATATCAACACTACAATTGATTTGTTCGACCTGAAAACAAATCGGGCCACTTGAAATAGCTATTAATTTATGGGAAATTACAAAAAATCAAAGGTTTAAAGATAAATTTTTAAAAATCAGGTCCAAAGTTTATTTATTCAAAAATCAGGTAATATATTAAAGGGGTGTTTGTTTTTGATTTGAGAATTAATTCTCAAATCACTTCTCATTTTCAACCACACATTTTTCAATAAAATAATATTTTTCATCACATCAATAATTTTTTTTCTTTTTTAACCACACATTTCCCATCATATCACTATTCAAAAATAAATTATTTCCTAAAAATAATTAATTCTCAAATCACTTCTCATTTTCAACCACACATTCTTCAATAAAATAATATTTTCCGTCACATCAATAATTTTTTCTTCTTTTTCAACCACACATTTCCCATCATATCACTATTCAAAAATCAATACTTCCCCAAAAAATTCCTACCAAACAAGCTTTAAAACCATAATCCTAATTTATCATTCTCAACTCCCTCACTTCTCTCTCTCGCGCCTCCTCTCCCCTCCCCTTCCCTCTCTACATTCTCTCTTTCTAAACCAACCCATCGCCTCCCTCCCGTCATCGCCCAAACCCATCACCAGCCTCAATCCATATCGCCGATTAGAAGGAGCTCGAATTGCGGATGCAAAATTCTATGCGACGGGCTGCGGTTTTGAGGGGTGGATCTATGGTTTTGAGGGATGGTGGTGGAGGTAGTTTTTGAAGTTTTTTTGGACCTGTAAAGGAGGTTTTTGAGGTTTTTTTTTTTGGATCTGCGGTTTTGAGGGGTGGATCTGCTGTTTTGAGGGATGGTGGTGGAGGTAGTTTTTGAGGTTTTTTTTTTTTGTTGTCAATGGTGTAGGTGGATCTAGAGATGTTAGTGGTGGATTTGACACTGTTGGTTGTGGTAAGGTGGTGGTCTAGGGATGGTGATGGAGGTGGTTTTTGAGATTTTTTTGTTGTCAATGGTGTAGGTGGATCTGGAGCTGTTAGTGGTGGAGTTTGGTGGTGGTGAGGTGGGGGATTTGACACTGTTGGTTGTGGTAAGGTGGTGGTCGCAAACGGCTATTGTGTGGCGGTGGTGTCGGGGTGAGGGGATTTCAAGTGGTCGTGGTGGCTGTGGTGTGGTGGTGTGGTAGTGGTGGATTTGACGGGGTTTGTTGGCGGTGGCTGTGGCGGTGATTTTTGTTGATGGAGGTGGTGGTTGGCTTGGGCATGGTGGTTGGTTTGGGCGTGGTGGTGAGCAGTTAAGGTGGTGGATCAGGATCGGAGGTGAAAGCGAGGTGTTGGTTAATTTGTAACTAATCATTTTGTATCAGTGACCTAAAAATTATATAATATGTGACCGTGAAAGAATATGTGACCAATTAATTTGGAAATATGTGACCATGTGACCTACAATTTTTTTGATCTGTGACCATTAAAAAATATGCGATCAATTAATTTTGAATATGTGATCGAAGAATAAATTGTGACCAATTAATTTGAAAATATATGACTTATAAATAAAATTGTGATCATTAATTGTATAATTGTGACCTATTTATATTTAATTAATGAATATTTTTAATTAATTACCTAATACCTGAATTTTGAATTTTTAAACTATATACCTGTCTTTTGAATTGGTGTAAACCATGCACCTGAATTGTGAATTTTTCCCTTAATTTATGTTGCTCGTGATCCATTCATTAGTTGGATAGCATGTTAGCCCACCACCTTATTTAGCCCAATTTTTTATATCTTGGCCCATGAGTTTTAACCTAAAACTAGATATATTTTAGACCTTTTGGTGAGTAAACGTGATTGCAATTGCTGTGTGAGAAAAGAGAGGCAACCGTTCTTGATGATTGTTTAATCATTGCTTTCTTTGGGCAATATTTTATTTCTGGACTCTTCTATCCTTGGATGTTAGGGTTTCGATTTTTTCTTGAATGGTTGCTTAGTTGCTGAAAGCTTTAGGGTGAATAATAGTTGTTCTAAAGTAGTGAATTCGCATCTCCCCTTTTTTACGGACCCGCAAATTTGGCCCGTTAGGTAAATTAGCTAATAACTTTTAAATTTCAGTACTACCAAGTCATCCTATGGGTTGACAATTAGGATTGGAGTTACCATGTGTGGTAACCATTGCCTATTACTAGAATCTTAAAATTATTTGGGTTATTTGAAGTGTTCAAAATTCATTAAATTTGATAGCTGAAAGTTGATAATTGATTCGTTGATATTATAGTCAATTAAGTCATTGTATGAGATTTGCATTGCATGATACATTGGTTTTGTTAACATACATTTGTGTTGCATTGATCACTCTGTTAGAACGCCTAAACTTTATTCGTTTGACTATTTCTTTGATCTGGGGTCGCGAATCTCACGAAACTCTAGGAATATAAAAAGGTGTAATTATGACCCTAGGGTTGCTTGGTGTATTCTAGTTGTGTATTTGTGTTTTTTAGTTATTTTGTATCAAAAAAGAACTACACGTCTTGATTTGGGGATTCCAATGAAAATTGAGATTTTTCTATTAGACAGCAAAAAATGAGTGGGATTTTGGTTCAACAAATGATTTCAAAGGTTATAGATGACAATTTTTCTACTGATTTGTCATTCGAACAAAAGAATATTCTGACTGCCTAGAAAAAAATTTGGTAAATTTAAAACCACGAAAGAACTTTTAGAAAAATTGGAGGACTTCTATTTGCTTAAATCTTACTTTATTTACTCTAAAAAAATTTCAGTTTTAAAATGGATCCTTCAAATGAACATACCATGGGCTTAGGATTTGTTATGGTTTACCAATTAGGCATAAGGAGTAACCAATCTGGAGAGCATGGTTGGTGATGAGAGAGAAGATATTTGTTCTCGTGATACGAGCTACATGAAATGGCATATGATAATTGTAATGAGATATTTTCTTATTGTCATTTATGCATTAGTTGTATATGTTGGTCATTTGCTTGATTAATTTGGTGTTAGTCTAATATTCTTTGCATGTTGAACATGTTGAAAATGTCCGTGTACTATCCTGTATTTTGTTTCCATCGCATTTTTTATAAGTCCTTGATCGATTACCGTGAATATCTGTTTGTACTTGAGTTCTTGACCTTAGTTGTTTTAGGTGTTAGCCTACTTTACCTTTCTTGTTGACCAACCTTATTTAGTCTAATTTGTTATGTCTTTGCCCATGAGAAAACAGTATTTTGTTACCCCCTTTGTTGAGTAAACGTGATTGCAATTGTTGTGTGAGAAAAGAGAGGCAACCGCTCTTGGTGATTTTTGAACCAATGCTTCTTTTCTTCTTCCTTCCTTTGTGGTTAATTGCACCCACCATATTATCATTTATGGATAAGGTTATAAGAGGGCAACCATAGTGAGAAATTTGGACTTGGATTTAGATTTAGCCTTTGATTGGTTGGTGTTTAATTCGCTTTTGTGTTGAAATTGAGTCAGGATTGCACAATTCAAAGTTCTTGGTGTATAATTTCCGCTACACTTTCTTCTTTCCATTTCAAAATTACTTCGTGTCACTTATGCAATCTACTTTATTATATATAGTTGATCGTTTATTCAACCATTTAATGCTTTCATCAATGGTAGATCAAATTAGAAAATTAAGTGTTATTCATCACCGCGGGTGTTTAACACCAATTTAGGTGGCATCACTTGTGTTATCGAATTACAAGTTCAATCAAACACGAGAATTTATGATTTATTTATTATGACTTATCACATGTTGACATCTAAATTGGTGTTCTAGCGCCATTGCTATATAACATTATTCTTTGTTATATGTCATTAAGTTAGTGTGCCATCTCACCAATTGTGATTAAATATTGCTTTTGGACAACAATATGGACCGCCCTTATCTAGATAGTTCATGATTTCTGTTAAGAAATCTATAATAAATTGGATGCTCCATTTTATCGTATTTCCCTACTTTATTTTTAAAAAGTCAATCAATCATTTACTGTTCATTTGTGAAGCTTTTTTCTATTCCCACCTTGCCCTTATTCGTCCCACACTATTAATTTTCATTTGGATAAGAGAAAGGGGAATATGGCGTGGGGAAGAGATATATGGATGGATTTGTTTGTGTGCGTGTAGGGCATCATTCAATATTTTAACGAAT